TAGACTCAGCAGCTCCATAGGGCTGAGTAGAATGCTCCATAGAATTTCTGAGACTATAAATCTTTAGTGGGCCTCATCTTTCTTCTTTGGAGGGACTAGTGAGTTCAAATGCTTGGTTCGCAGCCCAAATGCTTAACCTATGGGGCTACTCAGGGTCAGTGTGACAGTTGTTGTTATTGTTGTTAAATGCCTTATAATCTGTTCCTACTCATAGGGACCCTGTGAGCGCTTATGTTAACAGTGTAGTGCTTACCCTACAGCACCACACCAGAACTCCAGTGGGATAGATTGTAGGAAGTTGTGCACCGTGGAGTTGGTTCTGACTTACAGTGACCCTGTATAAGGGTTTCAGAGGCTGTAAATCTTCATGGGAGCTGTAGCCTCATCTTTCGCCCACAGACTGGCTGATAGATTCAAACTGCTGACCTTGCAGTTAGCAGTCCACTACACTATCAGGCCTCCTTAATGTGACTTAAAGTGTAGTGCTGTAGGATCAGCACTGGACTGCGAACCAAAAGGCTGGCAGTTCAAACCTACCAGCTGCTCCTAGGAAACCCTATACAGGGTCACTATGAGTCAGAACTGACTTGGCAGCAGTGTAAAATGGTGGTGGTGGTGGTTGTGTGCCACAGAGTCAGTTCCAACTCATAGCAATGCTTTATAGGATTTCTGAGGCTGTACATCTTTATGGGAGCAGAAAGCCTTATCTTTCTCCCACAGAGTGAATGGTAGATTTGAACTACTGGCCTTGTGGTTAGCAGCCCAACTCATAATCCGCTATGCTACCAGGGCTACTTAATGTGATGGTTCTTGTTGTTGTTAAGTGCTGCCATGTCGATCCCAACCCATAGCGACCCTGTATAGGCTTTCCGAGGAGTCACTGGTGAGCTTGAACCATTGACCTTGCAGTTCAAATGGCTTTGCAGTCTAGCACATTAACCCACAGTGCCACACCAGGACTCCAATGTGATGGTTGTTGTTGTAAAGTGCCGTCGAGTTGGTTCCTACCCATAGTGACCTTGTATAGGGTTTCTGAGGAGCAGTTGGTGAGCTTGAACCGCTGACCTTACAGTTCAATGTGATGGTAGTTTACTGTAATTGTCAATCATTGCATAACCTAATCTTTCTGGTTTGGGTCTATAGCCCAGTTCATTTCTTTTGTAACTGATTTCCTGTATTAAATTGCTTCTCTGTCAAGTATCTAAATTTGTTTCTGTATTCCTGATTGAGCCAATTATGGGTCAGCCTGTGTGTGCACTAGCTGGCAGATGTGGTGTAGAAGACATTTCATTACATCCTGGAAATACATTCAAGGAAGACTTAATTGACAATGTTAGCTCTACATACAACTGTCCTTTCACTCTCCATAGAGAAGCACCAATCACTCAGTTCAGTGACAGGTTTTGTCATATTCACTGACATTTATAGACTCATGATTGTGCCATGTTTATTCCCCAGAAGGTCTGCATTCAAATTATTGAAAACCTTCAGATTTATTGTTGGTTGATCTGCTTGCTTTTTTCCTTAAGCTATATGACTGGATTCACCATTCACAGGTTTTTTACCGCTCTTCAGCTTTCTGAGAATTTTCAGACTTATGGTTTTCCTTTGATATTTCTTCTTCCATTTTCTCTAGGAAGTCTTCATCTTTGCAGATAAGCTAGCATTCAGAAGGAGGATTTTTAGGAAAGAAAGGGAGTCTGCAGCCATAATTCTAGCACAGATGAAGGGAAAAAAAACCACGATGTGCTAGGAGTCAGTTACAACTTGAGGCTTATGCTGATGAAGTCAGTAGGGGCAAGAATCTTGTGCTAGATCTTAATAATCAGTTTAGTATCTCTGGTATGGTGCTGTGGATTAATATGCTGAACTGCAAAGGTGATTTGAACTACAAGATTGGTGGTTCAAGCTCACCAGCTGCTCCTCAGAAACAGGGTTGCTATGAGTTGGAACAGACTCGATGGCACATAACAGCAACAACAACAACCAAGATCAAATACAGAGACTCTTTCACCCTCAAATGATAATAACGGCATGTTATCTTGAACTAAAGGCGCTCTGGTAGCATAGTGGTTATGAATTGGGCTGTGAACCACAAGGTCACCAGTTCGAAACTACCAGCTGTTACACAGGAGAAAGATGAGGTGTTCTGCTCCCGTAAAGATTTATAGCCTTGGAAACCCTGTACAGGGTCGCTATGAGTCGGAACCGACTCCATGGCACTTAACAACAACAACAACATCTTGAACTAAAGGACAATTGCATAGGATCCCATAGTCAAATTTATGCTCACAATATTTAGAAACTGTTCTTTATCCTTCTGAAAAATAGAGGTCCTGGAGGTAGTAGGCTCTTGACTACAAATCTGGGAAATAACCCACATAAAGGCCTGTAGACCTGCTGGATTTTTTACCTTTAATATTCAGTATCATTACCACCAGGTACTTCCTTCTCTGGTTCTATCTGAGAGAATGCAGATATGATGGATTTAGAAGTTGAGACTTACTAAGCTCAAAATTTGGAAGAAGAAACAGTTATATTGTGCCATTGAATATTGTCCAAAAGCAGGGCAAGGCAGCCGGCCAATTCTCCAAAGCTCTTTGTTTCATCACATGATGTTGCTTGGATATCAGCATATCAACAGATTGAATCACCACCATTACTACTTGAAGAAAAAGATCTTGAGAGAAAACAAAATTGAAGGTGCACACCAGGGTTATAAAAAAGGCAAACTACAATCTAGGGTAAGTTCTTCCTGAACAAATCTGTCTTTTTGTTTCAGATAAATTGTTGTGCAGATGTCTCCTCCCTAAATTCTGCAAGCATTTTAATCAAGTATTATCTGGTCTAGACTACTTGACTAGGTAAGATGTATTTCTTCAGCAAGCCCAAGAAAAGCACACATGAATTGTTGCCACAAGAAAGCTCATTTGTCATTTTCTTGTGCAGTTTGAGGAGAGAAGTCATCTTTCCAGCTTGAAGAATATTTATCCTCTGCTCGAAAGATCTGGAAAATGGGGGGAGGGATGTTGAGATAAGATGAGTAGATGGTAGAATGCAAGTTCCCATCACAAAGAGGATTAAGAGTATATCTTGGTTGGCATGGTTTTCTAGAGTTTGCATTGAAGGAAAGCAGTACTAAATAACATATTTCTAGTTTAATTTATAAGTTTTTAGCATGGAAACAAGACACCCAAGAGTGTTGACTAATGTTTCCTTAATAAATCTGTTTTCTAGATGATGTGAACATTAGGTCTGTGAACTCAGAACCAGAGTTTCTCACATATTCAATGACTTCTTAAGTATCTGTGAGTGTGTGTGTGTATGAATACATGTGTACCTGAACATATGTGAGCACACTAAGGGAGGGTAGAGAGGGGAGATGGGTATAAAGTGAGAGCATTCTATATTCATGGTCTCAATTAATTAGACAACCTAATGTGTGGTAGACATAGTAGTGGTCATTGGACAGATGAGAGGACTGAGGGTAAAGACGGTAAGAAACGCAAGTCTTTCTGGTTCTTAAGGCCGTACAACCTCTATTAGATTCTTTTCCACCTCATCGAACTAGCATGAACTGGAGGTGTTGAGGGTCATCTGCTTTGTTTAAAGGATCTGGTCTTATTTTAAGGAGCCTTGCTATTGTAGTGGTAAGTGCTTGGCTGACAACTAAAAGCTTAGCTCTTAGAACTCACCAGCTGCCCTGTGGAAGGAAGATGTGGCTTCTGTAATGATTTGTAGTCTTGGAAATCCTACGGGGCAGTTCCGCTCTGTCCTGCAGCATCATGGGGAATCGGAATGAACTTGACAGCAGTGGTTTAGCATTGGCCTATGCTGTGTCCTTACTTCCTGTCACTTGACAAGGCAAACAAGCACTCTGGCCCTTCCAATATGTTTATTCTTCCTTGACTGTTCAATGATTATTATTATATATGTTGCTGTTGCCGTTAGGTGCCATCAAGTCAGTTCCGACTCACAGCAACCCTGTATGGGGTCTCCGAGGAGTGGCTGGTGGGTTTGAACCATCAACTTAATGGTTGGCAGCCCAGTGCTTATCCTTCAGTGCCACTCCAGTTCAGATTATAACCCCTTAATCACATAGCGAGAAGGCCTAAACATTGCAGGTGTGACTCGTTCATTGTATGGCTTTGTCAAGCAGCTGGTAGGCAACATGGCTAGGTTTAAGTGTTTGTTTTAAAGTATTTAGCTTTAAATTTTATTTTTAAGTATTTGCCTGCTGTAAAATTGCAAATCTAAATGTGCTAGCAATAGAAAGTGATGTGGAAAATATATGATCCTGCCACTAAAAATAATATTTTAAGGAATATTTAATAACCTGGAAACATACAATATCTCACTTTCCTAAAATAGCACAATATGCACAGGAAAAAAGAGAAAATGTGTCAACTGCTAACAGTAGTTATGAATAGAGTCTACATAGTTATATTTTCTCCTGTTTTTAATTTTTTCCAAATTTTCCAAAATGACATGCAAGAAGGGCTTCACAAGTTCGTGAGAAAATGGTACTGAAAGATCATAGAATTTTTCCTCGAACTTTTTGAAGGTCCATTGTATCTTACCTTCAGAATCAGAAAAGGCAATAAATATTATTTTATATGATCATGACATAACTGTTGCAGAGAAAGTAGGTCGCTACATACCCCTTATTCTAAATAAAATACCACACCATGTTCAATGGCTCATCCCATAAAAGATGACCTTGAAATCCTGGTGAAAGATTAAGAGTTCTGGACTATTGTTTCCATAAATCAGGAGGAGAAATGGGAAAACATGAAGAAAGAACAAGGAGACAGTCTGGTGAGATATAATCACTCCAGAGCATGTGAGAAAGCATTTTTACTTCCGAACATAATAATATCTATTTATTTGCTTTCTTACTTAGGGATATCTCCCAAGTTGGTTGAACAAAATGTAATGTTATCCTAGGCTTCGTTTTTTTTGTTTTGTTTTGTTTTTCTCTTAGAGTTGTGGGACAGAGAATGGGAGAAAATAGGAGAAGACAACAAAAGCTTCAGAATGTTCCACAGATTCCTTGCATACGAGTCCCTCCATCTGCCTCAGTCACTTCATTACTGAAGGTTTGTATATCACACACAGATGCAAGGACCGACCACACCGTCTCTCCTTCAAAGGTCGGGAATCACCATCAGGCAGAATATTTGGGCCAGCCCAGACCCTGAAAACAGTGTGTGTTAAAGCCACTTTTGTGTGAATGAATAAGAGTTTGGAGTGATGTACTCCAACGAGGCAATGATAGTTTAGTAGCTTTCTTGTCCACCGTCAGCAATCCTAGGTTTAATTCTACATTCCTGTCTTCAGAATCGTGTGTGTTGCTATGATGTTTGATAGGTTTCAGCAGAACTTCCAGACTAAGAAGGACTATGAAGAAAGCCTGAGTATCTAGTACCCAAAACCAACCACTGAGAACCCTATGGGTACGACTGCTAGATCTGCAAAAGATCGTGGGATAGTGCAGGACTGAGCAATGTTTTAGTTCCCTCATATCTGGGGTGACCATGAGTCAGGGGCTAACTCTAAGGCAGGTAAAAACGCTCAGTCTTGCAGCTGTTCCATTTCAGGAGCTCTGGTACAATGTTGTCTCTGTACTGCAGACACAATAGTGGGCCTGGGGAACTGAGTGACCACACCTTGGCTCCACTGTTGGACGGCTAGATTTTTCTGAGTTTTAGTTCCTTTTCAGTCAAATTTTGTTAAAAACCATTCCCATAAATACTGTTTGTAAAAATTTCTGGTTTCTAGGATGTAAGCATTTTTTCTTGTAAAACAAGGCCATAATCATTAAGGTTTTATCTTGTATAATGCAAACTGCTCTTTGTAGCTTTACTCTTGATAATGTTTTACTGCTTTCAATCATCTGGAAAGGTTTATTTGGTTATTCAGGAATGGAATTCATTCCTTTCTTCAAGTATATATGTTACTTTTTTAAACATCTGATTCAGGATAAGCACTGAACTGGCAAGGTCAGCAGTTCAAACCCAGCAGTTGCTCTCAGAAACCCTATAAAGGTTTGCTGTGAGTCAGAACCCACATGACAGCACACAACAACAATACCAAATCAGAAACTGTAAAGTTTAAGTGATGTCTCGAATTATGAAGTACTTGGCTTTGCTATTTTCAACCTGGGTATGTTTTTATATAAAAATGGGAAGTCTTTTGACCTCATCAAAATGCTGACATGGATTTCAACTGCCCACAAAATTTCTAACATGTTGGTGCTGCTGGTGGTGGCTGTGTGACGTGGAGTCGGTTCTGACTCCTAACAACCCTAATAGGGTTTCTGAAGCTGTACATCTTTACAGGAGTAAAAAGCCTCAATCTTTCTCCTGCAGAACAGCTGGATTTGAACCGATGACCTTGCAAGTAGCAGCCCAGCTCATAATCCACTATGCTACCAGGGATCCTCTGTTAGTTGCCTTACTCAACTCTTACAGTAAAGTATCTGAAGTTTAGCTTTTTATTGTTACTGCTTTTAAGTAGCATCGAGCTAGTTAAAACTGACCATGTGGTCCAGTGCATTACCCTGCAGCACCACACTAGGATAGCTTTCATTAGCTGTCCTTATATGCCTAACAACTAGCTTTGTAAACTTCTATCATTGTTTTAGATATTTTGACCAAAGGTTAATTTATTTTATCTTGATTTTTCTAGAATGTTGATACCATCCTCTTAGTTTCCTCATTTGAGCAGAAGAGTTGCTCATATCATAGGATCACCATGATTCAGAAAATAATGCATGTAATATACTTAGCATTTATTGTTGTTAGGTGCCGCTGAGTCAGTTCTGACTCACAGTGACTGTGTTTTGGGTTTCCGAGGAGCAGCTGGTGGGTTTGAACTGCCAACCTTGTGGTTAATAGCCCAGTGCTGATCCTACAGAGCCACACCAGGAGTCCATACTTAGCACAGTCTATAAGAGACATTGAAGTTATATTGTTGTTGCTAAATGCCATCCAGTAGGTTCCAACTCATAGGGTTTTTTGAGGAGTGGCTGGTGAGGTTGAATGGCCAATCTTGCAGTTTAAGCTGACTTTGCAGCCCAGCACATTAACCCACAACACCACACCAAGATATATTAGGTATAGCAATAATTGCAGTCTAAGCTCTTCTCATTTCTCCCTAGCATGATGACAGAAACTTTCTAAATGGTTTCTGGTCTGTCTTTTGATCTGCGATCATTATCCACAGCAGGGCCAATATAATCTTTATAAAATGCAAATTTTGACAGAATTTCTCAATCTTAACACTATTAGGGCTTTGAGCCCAATTATGCTTTATTGCAGGGATTGAGGGGTTGTCCTATGTGTTATATTTATAGGCATCTCCGACTTCTACCAACTAGCTGTTAGTAGAGCCCTTTCCCCAGTTGTGAAACGTTTCCAGGCATTGTCAAATGTCCCTTCAGGATAAAAGAATATCCATTGAAAATAATTGCCTTAAATAAAAACTTTCACATGAAAGGTGTGAAAGGCAATCTTCATGTGAAAGGCAATCTTAAAACTCTAATCCAACAAAAAAGGTCATCATAATCTTCCCCTACATAACCTTTCAGCCTTTTCTACTGAAACTCTGTGCTTCAGTTGAACTAAAGAAAAAGTCTAGTTCGCAACATATCTAGTAGATACGGTGTGTCCCACAAGAGAACGTGTGCCCGTTTCTCCCTCTGGCTATAATTAACTTTTTCTATTTGTTTTAATCCAGTGGTTCTCAAATGTTAGTCTGCATGCATCAGAATCAATGAGAATGCTTGTTAAAACCTACAGTCCTTGGTCTCACCTGCCCAGGGTTTTTGATTCTGTAGATCTGGGGTTGGACTTGAGAATTTGCATTTCTAACCAGTTCTCAGATGCTAACAGCACTGCAGGTTGGGGAATCACCTTTTATAACCAGTGTTCTAGACTAATGTGAATGGTTAGCACACTTAGCTGCTAATACAAAGGTTGTACGTTTCAGTCCACCTAAGAGGCTCCTGGGAAGAAAGGTTTGGAGATTTACTTTCCCCAAACCAGCCACTGAAAAGCCCTATGGGGCACAGTTTTACTCTGACAAACACGTGATTGTTATGAGTTGTCACTGACTCAACAGCAACTATGTCACAGACTCAACTGTTTTGAAATCTTCTCCCTGTAGAGAGTTCGTCTTCACCCTCTAAGACTCGGATGTGGTGGTCATTTACAAAGCTGTACTTGGCTGCTGTAGGCAGAGTTTTTCTATAGTATAACTAAAGATGTCATTTACCACATTATCTGTCTACTCATCCAACACCTCCCTGATCACTGAGAACTCTCAGGGGAAGGACTCTGAATCCAGCAGTCTGGCACACTTCAGGCCCTCTGTAGATCTCACAGACCATGTTCCTCAGAACAGATTATAATAGCTCAATAAATTATAAGATCTTTTTAAATCTTGGATCTCCATCAGTCCAATACCTTGAACTGCTTAACTTGAATCTTTTTTTTTTTCCTATACCACAATTTTCTATTTTTCGCAGTTTTTTTGTGAATGAGTGAAGGTTTACAGAGCAGATCAGTTTTCCATTCAACAATTCGTACACATTCTGCTTCATTTCACTGATTACAATCCCCACAATGTAACATCACTGATCCCACTTCCTCCCTGGGTTTCCTGTTTCCATTGTTCCTTCTTTGTCCTTGAGTAAATGCCAAACTTTTGAACTCAAATAATTGATTATTCTAAGGTGCCTATACCTCACTAGTGTCATTGGTCCTCTAATAGACCTGTCTAATATTTGGCTGAAAGGAGCTCTGGTAGCGTAGTAGTTACTAGTTGGGCTGCTAACTTCAAGGTCAGCAGTTCAAAACTATCAGCAGTTCTGCTGGAGAAAGATGAGGCTTTCTGTTCATGTAAAGATTTTAGCCTCTGAAACCCTATACAGGGTCTCTATAAGTCAGAACCAACTCAACAACACACAACCACCCCCACCACCATTGTTTGGCTGAAGATTGAACCATGGGACCATGGGGATGAATTCATTTTCAGAAATGAAGGCTGACTAAAAGCTGAAGTCTCAAGGGTTCCACAAGTTTCTATCCAACCAATAAATCTTATCTTTTTTTATGATTTTGAGTTTTGTTCCACATTTCCCCCCACTTTTTCTATTGTTGTTGTTAAGTGCCATTGAGTCAGGTCTGACTCATAGCCACCCTATATAGGGTTTCCGAGGAGCAGCTAGTGGGTCTGAACTGCCAACCTGTGGCCCAAACAGACCTAATAGTCCAGTGCTTATCCTACAGCACCACACCAGGACTCATGTAGGAACTTCTAATGTGAACCCTTTCAGTGCAGTTGGTAGTAGCTGTTGGGTACAAGGTCTTCTGGTCTCAGGGTCATGGAAGTTGATGTTTGTGTGGCCGATTAATCTATTGGACAAATTGCTTAGATTTTCATCACTCTTATTTCCTCCCGACAGGAAGAACCCTATTGACCTTAGATGGTTATGAGCTTTTAAGATCCAAGTCGACACTCAACATAATGGGATGTACGTTATGACAATTGACCTTAGATGTCCCTGAATCTATGGTCATGAACCACCAGATCCATATTTCCTCAAGGTGCTTAGTTGTGTCTAAGAGGTTTTCATAATTATTCCCCCTATAGCTTCACCATCACACAGGCCAGTTATGGTACAATGAATTATAGCTCTTCTACCATGCCAACACACATGCAGATCTCCAAGGAATGCTGGGCCTAGAAATGCTAAAGGGGACAAATGCCTTTCTCCATAGTCAACACTCTAAATTTGGATTTCCAGCTCCTAAACTATGAGAGGGAAGTGCTGGTGGTGCTGTAGGGTAAGCGCTGGACTGCTAGTCACAAGCTTGACAGTTCAAACCTACCTGCTGCTCCTCAGTAGAAAGATGAAGCTTTCTGCTCTTGTAAAGATTGACAGCCTCAGTAACCCTATGTAGGGTCACCCTGAGTCAAAACCAGCTTGACAGCACTTAACATCAACAACACCATAGTAACTGCCACCAAAATGATTGGATGGGACCATGCAAATATATTGCCCACCTAATCCTTTAATGTGAGATAAAGCACTAGACCTCAAGGTCTAGTCGGTGGTTCAAACTCACCAGCTGCTCCTTGGAAACCCTATACAAGATCATTATGAGTTGGGACTGACTTGACGACACTTAACAATAACCCCAGAAAGAGGAACAGATAAGCCCAAAACATCAAGAAAGAAGTGCTGCAAGTGGAGTCTGAAATCCCCTATGTGGAAAAGTAGCTGTGGTAGAGAGAGAGCAGCCCTCAGATCAAGTTAAGCTGAGTGCCTGGGGGCAGGAGGCTGGCTTACAGAACAGACCCTTTGTGCCTTTGTCTGCACCAGGAAAGGAGCTTTGTAACACTAATCTGAGCAGAACAGAGGCCAAGGACAAGAGAGCCATGCCTGGGATGTAGCTGAAAAGAGGCGTTCCTGGCCAATGAACTGCTGCATCCTAAGTTGTTTCTGTTCTTGAATTATACCCTGTTCATGTTCACTTCTGTAATAAAGCCCACGATCATGAATGTTGTCTTTGAGTTCTGTGTGGCCATTGCAACAGATTATAGACCCAGCAGAGAAGGAAGAGTGCTGTGGGAGAGTCGGCTAATGGCAGAATAGGATAAAGGTTGAAGGGTGAAGGTAGGTCTGACTTCAGCCTCATAAGAACTGACCTTAGGTTGATTTTCAATTTGATATCCCTTCCTCCTTGTGAAGCCAAAGGAATTTAGACATGGTCTTCACACCATTTTTACAACAGTGGAAGATGATTAAAGCAAACTAAAAGAGAAAATGCTACATGTTTTTGTCACTAGTTGCCCTCCAGTAGGCTCTGACTCATGGTGACACCATACACAACAAAGCAAAATGTTGCCATGTCCTGTGCCATCTTGAAAAGCATTGGTATGCTCAAATCCATTGTGACAGCCATGCATAGTTGAGTGACTTCCAATCTAAGGGACTTTCTTCCAGCACTATATTGGTCTATAGTTTTATAGGAGTCCTGGGGAGGAGCTGTGAGGTAATGCACTGGACCACAAAGTTGGTTTGAACCTCACGGTTACCAATTCAAATTCACCAGCTGCTCCTTGGAAACCCTAGTCAGGGTCACTGTGAGTTGGAATACTCTTGACTGCACTTAACAACAACAATAAGAATTTTATACAATAGGTCACCAAGCCATTCTTTCTAGCCTGTCTTAGTCTGGGAGCTCTGGTGAAGCCTGTTCACTATGGGTGACCCTGATGGTATTTGAAATACCATTAGAGTAGCTTCTGGTATAAGCGTCACATCTAAGCCACAACAGTACGACAAACGGAAAGGTAACATGTGTACAAGGGGGCTTCAGAAAGTTCATGGAAAAATTCCATTCTCTTTTCATTCCATTTTTCCAGGAATTTTTTGAAGCCCACTCATTATGTAGGTCTGAATTGTCTCAATGGCAAATAGCAACAACACATAGGTTTGCTGTGAGAGTCAGACTTGACCCGATGGCAGTGGGTTTTGACTGGTGTAAATGGTCAACTACTTAACTGCTTACTGGAAGAGCAGATTCCTGGTGTGGTGCTGTAAAATAAACACTGAACTGCTAACCAAAAGGTTGGTGACTCAAATCTACCAGCCACTCCTTGGAAACTCCATACAGGGTCGCTATGAGTCAGAACCTACTGGACAGCACTTAACTGAAGGATTGGTGGTTTGAACCCACTCAGTGACTCCGTGGGAGGAAGATTTGGCAATCTGCTTGCAGGAGGAATGCAGCCAAGCAAAGCCTATGAGATGGTTCTGCTCCGTAGCATGTGAGGTCACCAGGAGAGAGAACCGACTCGGTGGTGCCCGATAACCATAAGTAGCTTACTTCTGTGAAAGTTAGTTTTAAATACATCATACTTTTAATCTTCTCGAACTTCACAAACTCATCAAAGTTAACCACTCTGCTTTGACAGAACCTGAGCCGGGGGCAGCAGCGCTACTTGTACAATATCATGAAGATTTACGACTGTGGCCCCCAATGGGAGGCCCTGCAGACCCGCCACATTGACAGTCTTCAACACCAGCAGTTCCTTGGTGAGTTTACTCACTGACCTGAACCAGGATCATCCAGAAGGGACTCATGTGCTGCGGCTGGAATCTGAGTTCCCAGAGAAACCATTCAAATAGAATGGCCTCTGTCAGTGTGCTATTTTATCAGTATGGTTGGCTGACCAAGTTCAAATATGACTGTCCCTGACAAAAGAAAGCAAGGGTTTATGGGTAAATTAGAAGCTTTCAAAAAAATCAGAGTATGGGTTATAATCAAATACCAACAACTCTCTGAGATCTATAGAAAATTTCTGTGGCACAAACAGTTGAGCATTTGGCTACTGACTGGCTGGAGGTTCAAGTCCATCCATAGACAGTTTGGAAGAGAGGGTTGTTAATCTACTTCTGAAAAATCAGAGTCAGAATTGACTTGGTGGTAACTGGACTGTTGTTGTTTGTGGTTTGGGGATTTAATAGAAATGGCCCTGAGCTTAGGGAACTATAGGAGCCCTGGTGGTACAGGAAGTTAAGTGTTGGGATGCTAACCGCAAGGTTGGTGGATCAAACGCCCCGGCCACTTCATGAGAGAAAGATGAGGCTGGCTGTTCCACCAAGATTCACAGCTTCGGAAACCCTGTGTAGCAGCCCTATTCTATTTTATAAGGTCTCTGTGAGTTGGCATCGGCTGATGGCAGTGAACATATTGGTTTGTTTGTTTTCTGTTTTGGAAGCCAGTCTGGGATCAGACGACACAGCTCAGTCCCTTGCTGGTTGTGTGAGCTCAGAGGTTGGGTTGGTTCTCAACAATAATACTCATCTGTATTGAGCATTCGTTGTGGGCCAGACACTGTGCTTGAAGTGCTCCCAATAACATTTGTTTTTCCAACTTAACAGCTGTGGGAGTTCCTGGGTGGCACAAACATGACTGCTAACCGATAAGTTGGTGGTTAAAGTCCATCCAGATGTACTGCAGAAAAAAGGCCTGGTGATCTTCCAAAAATTCAGCCCTGTGGAGCACAATTCTACTCTGACAGATTGGAAGTTGCCATGAGTCTGAATCAACTCGACAGCAACTGATTTGCTTTTTTGTGTGTTCTACAGCTGTGGGAAACTGATGTCCAATCAGTTTATGTCACTTGATCAAGATGGTTGTTGTTGTTAAGTGCAGTCGAGTCAGTTCCAACCCATAGCAACCCTTGTATAGGGTTTCCAAGGAGCAGCTGGTGAGCTTGAACCGCCGACCTTGCAGTTCAAATGACTTTGCAGTCTGGCGCATTAACCCACAGTGACACACCAGGACTCCTGAAAGGTGTAATTGTTGTTAAATCCCTTTTCTTTTAAGAAGTGTTTTCAGGCTGCAGCTCTGCTCTCTCATGCTCTTCTCTGAACACAAAACTTATTTTTGAACTACTCGTTTTAACAGTAGCACGTATTGTTTTGGTGTTTATGCAAAAGCAAAACCATTTTTGCAAATGGTTTCATAAAAACTGAGGGTTTTGTATGTGCTGGGACCTGTTCTAAACACTTGGCATGCATTGCCAAGTGGTTGTGGCTAAGTGCCATTGAGTGGGTCCCAACTCATAGTGACCCTGTATAGGGTTCTGAGGAGCTGCTGGTGGGTTGGGCTGCCAACCTTGTGGTTAGCAGTTCAATGCTTATCCTACAGAGTCACACCAGGACTTCCTTTGCAAAACAACAAAACACTGCCCTGTCCTGTGTTCCTCACAATTATTGTTATGTTTGAGCCCCTTGTAGTAGCCACTGTGCCAATCCATCTTGCTGGGAATCTTCTTCTGCGGACCCTTCACTTTTTCAAGCATGATGTCCTTTTCCAGAGACTGGCTCCTCCTGATACTATGCTCCAAGTATGAGAGACTGAGTTACTCCAGCCTGGTTTCTAAGGAGAATTTTGGCTGTACTTCTACCAACACAGATTTGTTTGTTCTTCTGGCAGTCCATAGTATTTTTAATATTCTTTTCCAACACGTAACTCAAAAGCATCAGTTCTTCCACATCCAAGTATTTACATGTATTTGAGGCAATTGAAAATACCATTGCTTGTGTCAGGTGAACCTTAGTCCTCAAACTGATATCTTTGTTGTTGTTGTTGTTGTTTTTGAAAGGTCTTTTGCAGCAGATTTGCTTATGTGTTTTTATAACTGACATTTCAAAGAAGAGAAAATTGGCACTTGGATCAGTCATTATGACCAGGGTCATGCAATTAGTAAAGGGAGGAGTCAGGACTCAATCTGATTCCATGTCTATCTGAAATGCTGCAGAAATGCCGTCTAGTAGATTTGCTTGTGGAGTATAGTTCCATAGGAATCAATGAACCCTTACCTACTGTCTTGAGTTGAGTCAGATTTACAGTGACAGAGTAGAACTGCCCCTTTGGGTTTCTGACACTGTAATCTTTATGGGACCATACAGCCTCATCATTCTCCTCTGGAATGATTTGCAAGTCCAAATGTCTGACCTTGTGGTTAGCAGTGTAATGCCTAATCCACAACACCTTCTAAAACTCTTTCAATGAATCTTAGAACTCACTGTTTTTCCAGGTATGGTGAAGTTGATTCTGACTCATGTGTGTCAGAGTAGACCTTTGCTTCATAAAGTTTTTAGTGGGTGATTTTTCAGAAGTAAATCACTAGGCCTTTCTCCTGAAGTTGGATCCTCTGCCTGGACTCACACTGCCAACCTTTCAGTTAGCAGCTGGGCACATTAACAGTTTATATCACCTAGAGACTCCTTTTTGGAAGACAACTATCTGGCTGACTGCTTGGAAGAGATCAATATTTGTGCCCATTCCAAAGAGAGGTGACCCACCAGAATGCGGAAATGATCAGACAATCTCTTTATATCTCATGCAAATAAAGTTTTACTAAAGGTAATACCGAAATGGCTGCAAGCATACATTGACAGAGAACTTCCAGAGGTTCAAGCCAGATTCAGAAAAGGCCATGGAATGAGGGATATCATTGCTGATGGCTGATGGATCTTGGCTAAAAGCAAAGAATATCAGAAAGATGTTTACCTGTGCTTTATTGACTATGCAAAGGCTTTCGATTATGTGGATCATGACAAGCTATGGACAACATTGTGAAGTGTGAGTATTCTGGAACACTTCGTTGTGCTCCTGAGGAATCTCTACCTGGACCAAGAGGCAGTGGTTCGAATAGAACATGGGAACACTGAGTGGTTTAAAATTAAGAAAGGTGTGTGACAAGGTTGTATTCTTTCAGCATACTTATTCAACCTCTATGCTGAGCAAATAATCTGAGAAACTGGTTTATATGAAGAAAAAAAGTGGCATCAGGATTGGAGAGACACTCATTAACAACCTGCGATATGCAGATGATACAACTTGGCTTGCTGAAAGTGAAGAGGACTTAAAACATTTACTGATGAAGATCAAAGAGCACAGCTTTTGGTATGGATTACATCTCAACGTAAAGAAAACAAAAATCCTCACCACTGGACCAATAAACAACATTCTTATCAATGCAGAAAAGATTGAAGTTGTCAAGGACTTCATTCTTCTTGGATCAGCTATCAACACTCATGGAAGCAGCAGTCAAGAAATAAAACGACTATTGCATTAGGCAAATCTGGTGCACAAGATCTTTTTAAGGTGTTGAAGAGCAAAGATGTCAACTTGAGGACTAAGGTGTGCCTGACTCAAGCCATGGTATTTTCAATAACCTCATATGGATGTGAAAGCTGGACAGTGAATAAGGAAGACCATAGAAGAATTGATGCTTTTGAGTTATGGTTTTGGAGGAGAATATTGAAAGTGCCATGGGCTGTCAAAAGAACAAACAGATCTATGTTGGAAGAAGTACAGCCAGAGTGCTCCTTGAAGGCCAAGATGGCCAAACTTGTTCTCTCATACTTCTGACATATTGTCAGGAGGGACCAATCACTGGAGAAAGATATCACGTTTGGTAAGGTGGAGGGTCAGAGAAAAAGAGGATGTCCCCCAACAAGATGGATTGGCCAACTGGCAGCATCGATAGACTCAAGCGTGGCAACAGTAGTGAGGTTGGCCCAGGATCGGGCAGTGTTTCATTCTGCTGTGCATAAGGTTGCTATGGGTTGGTACTGACTCGATGGCACCTAACAACAACAACAACAGAGACTCCTGTTCAATGTTTGTTGTTGTTGTGTACCATGGAATCAATTCCAGCTCAAAGTGAATCTGTAAGACCGAGTAAAACTATCTTATAGGATTTCCTAGGCTGCCAACTTTATGAGAGCAGATTGGCAGGACTTTTCTCTTGCAGGACCACAGGTGATTGGACCTTTTGACTCAATGTGTAGGGTTCATAGAATTCACCTGTGGACTCTGCTTAACCTTCTGGGTGTCTGATTCAAGTCTTTGGAGTAGACTCAAACATCTGCTTTTCTAACAAGTGTTTTTCAGTTGTACCTGACCTCAGTCAGATGATTCTGTGGTAGGTGGTCTGCAGGCCACACTTTGGAAGCACTGAGGAAGATCTAATAACTGTGTTTCTGGTTTGAAGAAAGTTTGATATTAAAGATAAGCAATTCAGGCAAAGTTTCCTCAGTGCTCAAGTTCCTTCCCAAAACATTTTTCATGTTCATAAGTAATTTAGTATTTATTCATTAATTGAATGAGAAATGCACAAAAGAAGGAAAATACAGTGCCGGTCCTCACAGAGAGTACAAATTTGGCCTCCAATGGACGATGGTTATGCTTTCCCTCACTGGAGGAGTAAAAGAATGTGCACACATACGTGAATGTTTGCAGTTTTGTTTGCTTGCTTATTCTGTAAAATTGCTGATGTTGAGGTTTCTCTCATCTCTTCCTCCTAGGCTATATTACTCAACAGGAAGTGTGGACTTGTGCTTCTGTCCTGAAAGATTCAGCTAAGAGAGCCTCGGCCAAGGCAGCCCACCAAAGAGCCATGCTACCCCGAAAGTTTTCAGCTGGGACAACAAAAAGGCCACCAGAAATAAGACCTGTGTCTGTATTTCCACCCAGGGCCCACAGCACAGGGCTCAGCTCTCTCAGGAAGCATGGCTTCCACAAGTTTTGAAACAGGCCACTTGCCTATGTTTCCCTAATGTGTTGTTGTTAGTTGCCTAAAGCCAACTCCAACTCATGGTGACCCAGTGTACTACAGAATGAGATGTTGCCCAGTTCTGTGCCATCTTCATGGTCCTGGGAATGCTTGACTTCACTGCTGTTGCCACTGTTTCAATCCATCCCATTGAGGGTCCCCTTAACCTTTGATGACCCTCTACCACATATGACATTTTTTTCTAGTGATCAATCCCTCCTAGTCAGGACTTTCTTTCTAGTCTGCCTTAGTCTACCCACAATGGATGGCCTTGCTGGTTTTAGAACTATCAGTGGCAGAGCTTCCAACATCAAAACAACATATAAGTCACCACACTAAAACACAGTAATGCACCTGATGAACGGAGAATATGGTGAGTGCTTAGTTAATACTTGGTGACTGGTAGTAAACATGAGAATACCTTCTAGTAGTCACCCCAGCTCTAGAAATAATTTCTCTTCCATTCACATGAACTATACACCAGCAGCAAGATGGTGGGCATTTAATAGTGATGAAGCTAAGAGCAAACAAACATGCCTTTCTACAGTCTGTAGAACATGCCTCCTCTAGCCCTTCACCCTGAATTTAGAAATTAGTCTCTGGGACTACGAGGCTGTTCTTTAAAACTATACTTGTGGCATTTTTGTTATGACAACACTAGGAAATTAAGACACTTAACAGAGTCGCTATGGGTCATAACTGACTCCATGGCACATTAACAGTAAAGTAGTGTTCAAGTCATCTGGTAGATATATGCTTATTGATAAGATACAGCTATGCTATTTTCTAAAATTTCTGCATCATTTTGCATAAGAGTTCTAGTTTCTCCACATGCATGGCAGAACTGAGAATGCCCAATTTTTAAATTTTCACTATTCTTGAAGCTTTGGCTCTTGGAGAGCTTGGATACAAGAAAGATATTACCACTGTGAGTCAAAGTAACCTTTAACTAACCTTTGCTAAATCTGCTGCAAAAGATGTCAGGTCACAGAGCTGAGCTTTCCCCAAGCCATGGTACTTCAATCGTCTCAAGTGCATGTGAAAGCTAGACAATGAAGGAGAAAGTCTGAAGAAAATGGATACATTTCATGTTTCCCCAGTAATGTCTTACCTTTCCTCATTGACATTGTTTGTCATATTTAGCAGCCAACATCTCCCACCACCACCACCACCACCCAAATCTTTGTGCATTGCCTATTGCGCATCAAAAACGACTTCAAATATAGGGATTTATTTAAAGCAGTAGTTACCATTACTTCACGGTTTCTGTGGTCAGGGAGCTGAGCGCACACTACCTGGGTCCTGTGCTCAGGGTCTCTCACAGAGCTACAGTCAATGTGCAGACTGAGGCTGTGGTCTTCTACAGGGCAGGATACATCTATAAGTTCACTCATGTGGTTGTTAGAACTCAATTCCTCATTGGCTGTCAGCTAGAGGGGGCTCATAAAGGGTGCCTTGCTGCTTCAGAGTTGTCAAACAGAAGAGAGCAAAGGGGAAAATGAGTGTGAGCAAGGCTAATCTTGGAAGTGACATCACTTTTGGTGTTTTACTCATTAAAAACAAATCACTAGGTGCAGCCCACACACCAGCATACGGGAGTTTATAGATATGAACCAAAGTTGAAGATCATTGGTAACCAACTCCGAAGCTATCTACCAAAGCCAGGAATAGGGTGGTATGAGCCAGATGTCCAGGGTACACATTTTAAGAACACACTCATTTGTACACAACCCTAAGAGTGGATCCCATTTAGCCCCACACAAGGCACCCTGCTGCCTGCCACATCCACTCTGTGACTTTATGCTGGCCTCTGGTCATAAGATCAGGGCTCCCTGCCAACATACTCAGTCAGAATCTGTTCTCTAAGGCAACTAACCCCCATGCTGCTATAGGATAAGCACTAGACTGCAAACTACAAGGTTGGCAGTTCAAACCTCAGAAACTCTGTGTAGGCTCACTATGAGTCAGAACCAACTCAATGACACTTAACAACAGCAACAACAACCCCATGCTGCACAAGGTCTTCCTTCTATGACACTCTTTTGAAGCTTAACTGCTTTGTGTTCCAATCTCTCAGTGTACTGTTGGGGAAAAATGGGATCAGATAAACATAAGATATTGAATAATTTATACCTAATTTGTGTGTACTATGTATCTTGGTTGTTGTTAAGTGCTGTCGAGTAGGTTCTGACCCGTAGAGACCTTGTATAGGGTTTCCGAGAAGTAGCTGATGAGCTTGAACTACCGCCCTTGCAGCTCAAACGGCTTTACAGTCTGGCGTATTAACCCACAGAACCACACCAGGATTCATATAGATCTTCGTTGTTGTTGTTGTTATGTACCGTGGAGTTGGTTCTGACTCATAGCGACCCTGCACAGGGTTTCTGAGGCTTCAAATCTTTATGGGAGTAGAAAGCCTCATCTTTCTCCCTTGGAACAGCTGGTAGTTTTGAACTGCCAACCTTGAGGTATCAGCTGATTCGTAACCACTTGTTGTTGTTGTCATGTGCCATGGAGTCAGTCTGACTCATAGCAACCCTGTACAGGGTTTCCAAGGCTGTAAATCTTTATGGGAGCAGAAAGCTTCATCTTTCTTCTGTGGAACAGCTGGTAGTTTTGAACAGATGACCATGAGATTAGCAGCTCAATTTGTAACCACTATGCTACCAGAATTCTTTTCATAACCACTTAGGACAGTATTTATCAAAATATTATCCATATTTTATGCAAAGTATTACTCAACTCAATATTATAGATTTGATTTGTGCCCACCAAAAGGGTATTTGGAAACAGGGTCCTTTAAGATAGAGCAGGAGTCTGGTGTGATGCTATAAGGTGAGCATTGGACTGCTAACCACAAGGTTGGCAGTTCAAACCCACTACCTGCTCCTTGGAAACCCTATACAGGATTGTTTTGAGTTGAAACCAACTCGATGGCACTTAATAACAATAAGGTAGACCCTGCCAGAAGCCCTGGTGGTACGATGGTTAAACACTCAACTGCTAAATGAAAGGTTGATAGTTCAAACCCACCCACTGGTTCTTCAGGAGACAAGCTGTGGCAGTCTGTTCCCATAAATATTATATCTTGGGAAGTCCTGTTGGGGAAGTCCTATTCTGCCATATAGGGTCACTATGAGTCAGAAGATTCAATGACATACAACAACAGGGTGGAAGCTAATCCTATTTGAGTGTTTTGATAGTGTTGGTGTGCTATACAGTTGATTATGACTCATAGTGACCCTGTATAAGGTTTCTGAGACTGTAAATCTTTATGCAAACAGAAAGTCTCATCTTTCTCCAGTGGAACACCTGATGTATTAAACTGCTGACCAGCCCAACACGTAACAACTACACTACCAGTTGTTGTTGTTGATTGGCCGTTGAGTTGGTTTCAACTCATAGCGACCCTGTACAGGGTTTCCAAAGAGCAACTGGTGAATTTGAGCCACCAACCTTGTGCTTGATCAAAAACAAGTACAGATAGAGAGTTAGGCAAAAGAAAGCTGAATATATGATTATGGAGATAGATACAAACCACAAAATGACAAGGATTGCCAGGAGATACCCAAAGCTAGGAGCGGATCATGGACAATTTCTCTCCGAGAGCCCTCAGAAAGAAACAACATTGCTGATCAGGACTTCTGGCTTCCAGAATGGTGAGGCAATCTATTTCTGTCTTTTAAAACCATTCACTGTGCAGTATTTTGTTAGGACAGCCCTAGGAAATTAAAACAAAACAATTGGCATAAAACGGACCCTGATTCATTGTGATAGTTAAGATTATGTGTCAGTTTGGCTGTGTCAGGATTCTCCGTTAAAATGTAGTTATCACCTTCATGATGATGTTTATTATAAAACACCAAACTCATAAAATGATTTAATGGGATTAGCCTTGATCTAATGTCATTATTTTAACATTGCAAATCCTCACTTCTATCATGTTAATGAGGCCAGATGCAATCTACAGGATTAGGTTGTCTCTTGAGTCAATCTATTTGAGATACAAAAGGAGAGAAAAGAGAGCTGAGCTCAGAGAGACCTTCTCTCACCAAAATAGAAGTGCCAGGGATGGACTGCATCCTTTGGAGTACTATGAAGCCCCGAGATCCATAGAAGACTGACATCAAGACACATGGATAACTCCAAAGAAAGCTGGGCCTATTGATACTTAAAAAAGACAAGGACCTTTCCCCAGAGCAAGAGCCATCTATATGCCAGTGCTCTGAGTTCAGACTTCTAGCCTCCTAAACTGTGGGAGGACAAATTTCTATTTTTCAAAGCCATCTACCTGAGGTATTTCTGCTGTAGCAGCACTAAGTAACTGACACACTTATGGCACCATTATGTGTGTCCGAATAGAACTATGCCCCATAGGTTTGCAATGGTTGATTTTTTGGAAGTAGATCATGACTTCCTTCCATGGGACTACTGGGTGGACTTGAACCTCCAACCTTTTGATTATCAGCCAAGCAAATTAACCATTTACACCACCATGTACCACCTATATCAAACTCACTGGAGATGCTTAAAGAAAATGAAAACTACAGGATCCATTTTGGAAGAAGTGCAGCCAGAATGCTCCTTGGAGGCCAAGATGGCCAAACTTCTTCTCTCATACTTTGCACATATTGTCAGGAGGGAGCAGTCACTGGAGAAGGATATCTTGTTTGATAAGGTGGAGGGTCAGAGAAAAAGAGGAAGATCCCCCAATGAAATGGATTGGCCAAGTGGCAGCATCGATAGATTCAACAGTAGTGAGGTTGGTCCAGGATCGGGCAGTGTTTCATTCTGCTGTGCATAAGTTTGCTATGAGTCGGTACCGACTCAATGGCACCTAACAACAACAACAACAACATATCAGTAACCAGAATCTGAGGGATATCATTCCAGTTGATGTTCTGCTTATTAAAGTTTCGAAGGTCATGTTCATAAATACCAGGGATTAGGATTAGGACTTTCATATATCTTTTTTG